ATAGAAATGTATAACTTAGAGAGTAAAAGTTACCCTAATCTCTTCATTTCTTCATCTTGTTGAGGGTTAGGGTTTCAACATATAAATTCTGGAGGAGAGGGGGAGACACAGTTCAGTCCATAGCTGTTTTAAAAGAAATGTCACTTAGATAAAATACTTTCTCTTATAGGCAGTTAATGGCTGGGTATTTGAACAAAACTGTAAACTTCTTTAAGGCTCCTTATTCTCTCCTGCAGATTGAGACAAAAAATAACTACTTTTAAAAAAATGCCTCATCAGTCCACGCACTGGGTCAAGCACTTTACATCTTGTTTAATCCTTCCATCTGGTGAGCAGGGTATGATAATGTCCATTTTATGGATGGTGAAATTGAGTCTTATCCACAGGAGAAGTTTCTTGCCCAAGATCACACTGCTAGTAAGAGGTATAGACAGTAAGCAAAGTTGATCTGACCACCTCCACCTTTCACAGAAGAACATGACAGAATTGATAAATGCATCGAGAGACACACCCACTCAGAGAGATGGAATACTACTGTAGAACTGTTCTTGTTTTGTGGTTCCTATTACAGTGAATGTTCTTTCAGTGGCTTAGGAATTTTCATCCATTTTCTGAAAATCTTACACATAAATTTAGATTTAGCTGTCACTAGCAAAAAGACTTTGTTTTTATTTTTACTAATTTATTTGGTAAATAGTTTATGATCTGAACTCTCCAAGCTACTTTTTAAATTCTTATTTGTGGCCAAGTGCAGTGGCTCATGTCTATAATCCCAGCACTTTGGGAGGCTAAGGCAGGAGGATCATTTGAGGCCAGGAGTTTGAGGCCAACTTGGGCAACACAGTGAGACCCAGTTCTCTACCAAAAAATTAAAAACTGAGCCTGATGTGGTGGGGTGCCTGTAGTCCTAGATACTTGGGAGGCTGAGGCGGAAGGATGGCTTGAGCCCAGGAGTTTGAAGCTACAGTGAGCTATTATCATGCCACTGTACTCCAACCTGGACAACAGAGTGAGAACCTGTCCCTTAAAAAATAAGATAAAATAAGTTCTTGTTTGTGTTTGCACATTTTCTTATGCTGATGAATTAAAAATGATTATATCAATCTTCAACAAATGATAACTCTGCTTTTTCATGGTAGAAGTCAGAAACAACTGATATTTATTTCTGAAAAAGAAAACTTCCTATCACAAAGAAGAGTAGACATCAAAAATATGGAAGATGGATTTGGCACACTCCAGGAACTTTATCGGTATATTTGTTGCCTTTGAAATTTTTAATCTTTTCTCTGCATTTAATTTTTAATAAATGATAATAAATCTATGTCGATTTCTAATATGCTACAGAAAGGAAGTTTATAATTAGGTCTTTCTGTTTCGCAGTCTAGAAAAGTCATTTTCATTGAATTTTTCATTGATGGGATAGACAGGTTCTAAATTCTATAGTAGTTGTTGGACCAGAGGAATGAACCAGTTGGGGGTCCAGTGACAAGAATGTGACTGAACACTGTCACCCCACTCACCCCCTATGGTGTTCATTTCTGCCATTCTAAATCACTTTAAATTTTGTCTTCTTTTTCTGATTAAAAAAGTAATGCCTATGCCTGATTTTAAAATTCAAATCTAGAAATATATAACTTAGTAAAAGTTACCCTAATCTTTCCATCTCTCCAGAGAGATAATCACTGTTAACAGTTTGCTATACATGCTTTCAAATACATTAATATATAATTATATGTCTATCAAAAAATTATACTCTTATATAACTGGATTTTTTCCACTTAAAATTATACCCAGGAGAAGGATAAAACAAATAATATAAAATGGTAACATTTGGAGAAGTTGGTGAAAGGTATATGGGAATTCTTTGTACAATTTTTTACATTTATCTGTTGAGTTTGAAACTATTTCAAAATAAAGGGGGAAAGTTATATATATGGAACATCTTTCCTCATTCTTTTCTCCAACTGCATAGTGTTCCTTTTACAGATTATACTATATTTTATTTAACCAGCACTCTACTGATGGACATTTGGATTTTTTCTGTTTCCTATATTACAAACAACTTTTGAAGCTAACATCCTTTAACAGGACTCTGTCTACCTATGTGACTATTTATAATAAATTCCTAAAAGTTGAATTATGAAATCAAAGCAAGCTGCATATTTTTCATTTTTATAATTATTGTCAAAATGTCCTACATGAATATTCTGCCATTGTAAGTCCTACTAACACTGAGCATAAAGAAATTTGTCGTCTAGCTGGGCAGATGAAACAAGTAATGAACCAGACAGGACTGTGAAAAATAGAATGTGGATACAGCCAGCGAGGGATGAAAGCAAGTGAAATCAAGGAGTCCTTCTTTGTTGTACAAAGATTTAAAACTTGAACTAGACTTTAAAGCAGTCAGATTTTCCTGTTTGCTCATCAAATGAGGGAATAATATCACCGCACACAGGGAGAGACATGATTTGAATATAAGACAGTGAAGCACCAGCTTATGGAACTACGATAAGGAGTGAGGAAAATTTGAGCACACTCCAATAGGAATCTGGAATGTGACACAAAGTGTAGGTCCCATGGTTGGTTGTCCCCATGTTATAAAATAATATAGCTAGACATCGGTTTCTTATTATGTCATCTTCAGACATAAAATTATGAACTACTCTTTACAGAAGAGTGGGAAAATGGAATTGGGTTGAATCGGGTTTTATTTTCCTCATAAATAATGAAAATTTTATCAATTATTATATCATCATTGCTCTGGTCACCAGAAAGCTCTAAGAAAAATTTGTGGCCCAGTATTGTTCTTCATTTAGGACTTTTTATATTATCATTGCTTTATTTTAAACTGGTTCAAGTTCTTTGTGGATTATATTAAATATGTAAATAAACAAAATCAATAAGGTTGTAGCAAATTGTGAAGAACCTCAGAGGTCCAGGGGAGGATATTAGATTTATTTTAGTAGGAAATTGAGAGCCCATACTATAATTTCAAATAGAGAAAGAAACATGAGCACAGTTGTGTTTCTAGTTTAACAGTGTTTCATATTCCAAGTTTCACTTATGAATATTTCTGGCCTTCAAACTTTATTTAATAGCATTTCGTATTAGAAGTTTCATTTATGAATAGTTTTATCTTTCAAAAGATATAAAGCAGCATTTTACTTTTGTGGTTTTCAGTTGATTTCCGTGCATGAAGCACTTAATAGGGAAAAAAAGGAGAATAAAAATAAAGACAGTCATGACCTGTATAAGAACCTTCATATTTCCATCCATCTTACCAAAAGAAAATCTTCCATCCGCAATTGCGACTTTTCCCTAGTTCAAGAATCTGTATTGGTTTTCCGAATCATATATCATATCAAATGAGAACTCAATCTGTAATCCGGAGTTCCTCAACGATTTGTTGACGTTAATTCCTCCCGTGTCATAGTCTTCCCTTCATGTCTTCAGTAGACAGCAAGACTACCTCATGTCATAACAGAATCCTGACTCACTGCACTTTTCCTCTGTCTTTGCAAGTTATTTCATCCTTTTCTTGGTAAGACTGCATCTCTCTTCTGAGAATCCACATTCCTCCCTCTGTTTAACATTAGCCTCCAGTAACCCTTCCTCCCCACAGTCTCTTCTCTTTCCATGGATATCCACCTCAATGCTTGCAAAATCAGTTTGCACTGCCACGGAATTGCAATTGTCTATCAGTCCACCACTAAAATCTTTAGTTGTTTCACAGGTTTGTTTTGCCTTCTAATGAAACCATCACCTTACTGAGCATAAGAATTACACATAAAGAGTCTGTTGTATATCTCCCACAAATACAAAATCCAATATGTTTTCCTTGTTTTTAGAGCAACAAAGGAAGTACTTCGGACACAAATAAAAGTCTTGGGTAATAACCTGGAAAGAGAAACTCAGAGATGGTAAAAAAAAAAAATTATTTGTTATCAGTCATATATGTTATCATAATGAACAATGCAGAGTACTTGGTTACTAGAGTCCGAGGGAATGATTTTCCTAAATTAAATTGTGTGTGAGTTCTCTCAGACCTAGATGTGTTTGTTAGTTTGATTTTTTGACATTGAGCAGAATCAAAGTTTTTCATTTCAATTGAGTGAAGTCACCAAAGAGGAAAATTGCCAAGATTTGTGCAATGCCTTTTGCTCATCCAGGCTTCTGTGTGAACCAGTAGGGGAGGTGACATGGGTGGTGAGAGAGGAGAGTGGTGAAGATTACAGGCTTTGCAGATGGGCTACTTTGGTTGTTCTGCCCTTACTAGCTCTGTGGCCAAACCTAAGTTATTAATAATTTCTCTTTCCTCCCATCCCTATAGTGGGGAATGATAGTAGTACCTACATGATAAAGTAGTTTTGAATGTAAATGAGATGATCTATGTAAAATACTGTATTTAGATCAGTGTACATAAACAGCACTTGCTAATACTAAGCTGTACTTTATTGTTGTTGTTATTATTTTCATTAATGTTATTATTTATAAAACTCCAATTACACATTTTTACCATTCTCCTAACATGTGGCTTTTTTATGTTGTGGTGAGAAAAATTCGAGAGCCTAGAGGCTTGAAATTTATTAGCATACTAGGCAATTTAGGTAATGTCATTACTATTTTTGCATGGGCCTCTTCTTTTTTCATCTGTCCCTGAGCCTTCACCATTTCTATGCTTTACCCTTTGGCAAGCTGCCAAATGTGGTGTTCACTGTACTATTTATTGGATATACAGGCAGAATTTCTTACTCTGAAGTGACTTGCAGAGATGGCATGGAGGCAGTTACTGTTTTGTCTTTTTTTTTTTCAGTTAATGTGCATAGTCTGCATCACTAATAACACAAGCAATTTTGTGTAATCACAGTAGGACTTATTTTGCTTTTAATTTCTTTATCTTTTTGGTAAACTGCTCTGTGAATTTAATGGTAATTACTTTTGTTCTAATTTCTAGTGTTATAAATCAGTGGAGATTAGCTTGTTTGAGAAAAAAGCATGCACGTTGGACAATCAAGATAAAGGCTGAAATAGAAGAACTTATAGCAGGACTTAAGAGAGCAGAAATTAGACGAACTGACTTACTTGAAGAGGTAAAAAAATCCCCAAGGAACTTAGAATTAGTCTCCTACATTGCATATCAGTAATTCTCCTTCATTATTTAATTAAATCCTATCTTATTAGAAGGTGTTTTCCTTTCCGCTGACTTCATATTTAGAAGGAATTATTTAATTTTCTTAAGAAATGTATTCATTTGCTGTATATTAATGAGAGAGATTTATCAAATAAAGTAGGAATTCTCTCCAGAATATGTTTTTGAAGCATGTAACCAGAAACTTATTGGAGGTTAGTGTTTAGGGGAACTCTCTCAAAAGATGTGAGCCCAAGCATCATTTATTTAGCTCCTATATTTACCCTCTGCCCAACCACAATCTCGCACCCCTGCTATTTCTCATGTCACTTATAGACATTGTTTCAAGAAAATCTTAATTTCTGGAGGGGAAAAATAATCCCTCTCCATGGTTACTGAGAAATTATATAGCCTGAAATCAGAAGCGAGTCTCATGCAAAGAGATATTAATTTACCTGGCTGTTTGAAAATGTAAGACTGGTCACTGTAAGAAAAAAATGACAAATCCTCATTCTTCTCTAATTAGACCAGTTTGAGAGAAAAGGAGATCTGTGAATTTATGGCAGAGATTGAAAGACTTTCAACAGAATTGAAAGAAGACAAGCAGAAATTTGTTATCAAAGAAAAAAAGCTAATACAAGAGTTAAGCAAGTATGAGGCAAGTTTTATTTTGGATGACCATATGGGGGGAGGGGTAATAATACTTCATGCTATTCTAATTAGTTAAATGTAAAACAAATCTTCCAGGATGAACAGGGCTACAATTTCATTCTGAATCTCTCTTTACTTTTCCTGAAGAAGAAATAAATCAATAAAAAATATGTTTTCAGTTTAAATATATATATTTTTTGTGAAGTGTGTGAGATATATAAATTGTGTAGAACTGCTGGCAACAGGCTTGGAGATAGGTGGAGCTTCACAGGAAGCCTTTGGAGCTGGCACGGGAATAGCTGGAGAGAGTAACAAGGGGCAAAGGAGATTGGTAAAGTCAATCTCAGAAATCCTCCTTAAAAAGTGGGTATCATACTGACTTGGAAACTGCCAAAAACCATCCTGGGATGGGAAAGCACATGGATGCTGGGGGAGGTGGAGAGAAAAGGCACTGAAAGTACCCAGAGGTGGCAGGTCTGCAGAAACACAACAAAAAACTCATCTTCTCAAGGTGATAATATTTGCTTGATAGATAAGGGCATGTTTCTCAGAGGCAGCCATTGGTAGAGAGGCTGAGGAGAACAGGGGTGGTAGTACAGTGGCAGATGCCTTCCTGAACTTGATGAGGTTTGAAGAGGAAGAAGAGATCTTGGCTACACCAAAGAGGGGCTTTATTTGAAAGAAACCATCTCTTACAGTAGCAAGAAAGTAGGGACTTCTTCAATTTCCGAGTTTAGAATTTTACACTGATCCAGGCCCACTCCCTCACCCCATCCCATCCTGCAACATCCTGAGGAAACCCAAGAACAGCCAATTCTTTCTGACATGAATAACAAAACGGAAGCAGGTACATCTTTCGTACAAAAATACCAAAAGAGGAACAAAACTTTCCAATAAACGAAGAACACTCAGAAAAATGGTGATGTGGAGCAGATAAAAACAGTGATTAAACATTCTTTTCTGGAACTTTAAAAAGTAATTTAATAGAGGTGCAAAGAAAGATCACCCATGTGGAAATACAAGAACTCAGGGAAGAGATGTCAGAAGGTGACGTCCAGAAAACAAGAAGAAGGGAAACGGGAACTGACACAACTCAGGGAACAAACAAAGAAGAAAAATTACACAAATTGTGTCCATATTAGGAGAAATAGAGGGGAGAAGAGTTGGGGGGAGGCATTTCTCTATTGATTGTAGCATATCTAGGTGCCTGGCATTCTTCTAGATCTGACCGGACAAAAAGCTCTGCCCTCATGGAGTTTATGTTCCAGTGGGGGAAATAAACACCATAGAGAAAAATCAAGCGGGGAAGTGAGACAGAAGGAGCGTATGCGATACCTCGTATGCGTTGTTAATAGGGTAGTCAGAGAAGGGTCCAGCTCTGAAGCATGCAGGGGAGTGTGCGGCAGGAGACGGCTCCAGGCAGAGGGCACACTAAGCCCGAAGGTCCTGAGGCAGGACTGTCTTATCTGAGGAGTAACAAGCGGGGTGTGTTGCTGGATAAGAGATGGAAGTGCCAGAGGTGGTAGGGAGTCATCTTCAGGAAGCAGATGCTGAGATGGAATTAGGAGTGCAAAGTGTATGAGTGAGTAATATCTGTGAAAAGATTGGGCAGGGAAAGCTCTGAGGCCATGATGCAACCTGACACACTCTGTCAGGAGTTCCAGAGCACGGTTTGCCCATTAGAAGAGCCCTGCCTTGGGCAGAAATGGCTGCGTCCTTGCACCATCTCCTTGCTCAGTCACTGGGTGGGGGCCGCCCCCAGAAGAGCATGATGCTGGCTGGATAGCTGAGGCGGACCCTGAGGGAGCCAACCACTGGAGGTGTCAGCTAAACACACTCGTGACAATGACTTCTGAACATTGAGTCCTCCCTGGAGGAGAGATCCAAGTGGAGTATCCCTATGTCTGCCACATCCTTCCAGGCCATTGTAAGTACTTTGTCCTTTGCTCTTTCTGGGCTGGGAAGCCACTGGAGGGTTCTGAGTAGAGGGCTGAAATATTCTGACTTTTGTTTCAATAGGATCACTCTAGCTGCTAGGTTGAGTAGAATTTAGTAAAGCAAAGGGTGGCTGCAGAAAGACCGATTAGGAAGTAATAGCAATAACCCAAGTGAGGAACGAGGGGAGCTTGAACCGGGATGGTAACTGAGGAGGTGGTGAGAAGGGGTCAGCTTCTCAGACTTCTTTTGACTGTAATACTGACCCCTTTACCATCATACTTAACGGTAAAAGGATGGGGACAATCCTCTGAGAGTCATGAATAAGGTAAGGAATAAGGATCCAATTTAACGTACACAAGTCTACAACGCAATTAAGCAAGATGAATAAAATAGAAGCATAGGACTTTGCAGAGGAGACTATTGGCAGATTGCAAAAACTCAAGAAAACCAATGGCAAAACCACTATAAGACAGGCCTCCAGCCTGCACTCTGCTTGCCAGGCTGTGTGCTTGCTGCGGGACTGTGTCCATCCACACCTAATTCACACAAAGGCATGGGCCGAATGCAGCCTGGGCACCATCACTGTATGGCAAAAACCCCATTCCCCCTTGATAATCACCATCAGTAGCCCTGGACACATTGTAATCCCCTTTCTGCCTTTAGTTCAGTGGCATGAGGAGCCCAAATGGAAAGGAGGAAACCTCAAATTCTGGTTTATGGAACCACTCTGCTCCCCAGTAGTAAGATCTCCGAACCAAAAGCCCAAAGTCAAAGGGAGGAAAAGCAAAGTCATTAGGTTTAATAATGAGAAGTCCCACTATGGCCTGGGTCTATGACCCATATATCCTATGGGAAACGGCTCTATTAATTAGTCACTGGTTCAGAATATAAACTTCCCAATACTGAGAGGTACTGTCTCCCAGACAATGCTGTGACTGATTTTTGCACAAAGTTGGCCCCAATATCCAGGGCCCTCCACTGTAATTCTCCTATTAGAGTTCGTCACAGGTTTTGTACATCATTCTGATCTAGCTTAGACACCCAGAGCATCTATGGATCTACTGGGCCCTACAGCCCTGTATCTGGCAGGATTCGATCAGAGAAGCAGAGCCACCAGGAAAGAATTGTATATTATAGGATTCTACCTTTTGTAACTGTGTGCACTGGTTATACAGTCGAGTAAGGCTGTCAGCATTACATCTGGTGCTGGGGCCTGAAGTCAGCAGGGCAGTCACCTGCTGCAGTCACCTGCTACAGGGCTGTGTCCATCCACACTGAATTCTCACACAGACATGGACCGATGACAGCCTGGATGCCATTATCGTATAGCAGGAAGGAAGGAAAGATGGACAGGAAGTGAATGAAAGCAAGGACAAACTGGAACTCACAGGATGAGTTAAAACCCACAAGCATAGACTGAATCGGTCTCTCTCCCTTCCCAGACTCCAACTTCAGGGAGGTGGGAGACCTGCAGCAGAAGCTGGAGCCCCACCCTAAATATGTGTGAGGCTCAGGAATCAGAGATGCCGAGGAAGGGTCTGGAAGGATCTGAAGCTCAGGAATTAGAGATGCTAAGGAAGGATCTAGAAGGATCTGAAGAAGGTGCAGGCTCTGCTGCAACAACCTGAGTTTGCAGACAAGCAACAACTTGCCTGAGCTACACTGCACCTGTACTCCACACCCTCTTTCAGAGCATAAAGCAAGAGCACTATTTGTCGTCAAGGCACAGTGTAGGCAATGGGGATAAATTAATGCACTCACACACCTGCTTGTGTTCCCAGGCTATTCTTTTTTAGAGAACATAGGGTGGATAATAGAGTACTGAGTTTGCTAACCTACTCAATGCTGTAGTCTGGAGAAATGTAGTCTGCTTTTGCATTATGATATTTTAAATTATGGGGTTTTTATATGCAGTTTTGTCTTCTGTATTTATCCATAAGGATTCTAATAGCAATTTGGGAGAGGACATATCAAGCTAGCATAACAACGTATAATAAGTTAAGGTACAAGCAAACTGCTCTATCAAACATGCCAAAACACAGTGACCATCAGCAAGATGTGTAAAGGGCTAACAACCCTCTCTCCTTCTTTATTGGGAAACTGACCTTGGGTTGACTTTCTGGCTCCTTTCCCTGGTAGCCTGAAAATGGTGGAATATCAACTGTATTATCAAGCAACATTGCTTGTATTACAGTGATTCCTGATTGGTATAGTGCATCTTCCCACCAGAATAATCTGTGGGAAACCATGGTGTTGGGCTTCCCCAGGTTTGGTGGCTTTTAAGTGGGTATATTCCATTTGGGGACCTGGAAGGTATGCCTAAGAGGTCTTGGTTCCTATTTGAACATGGGACTTCTAAACCAGAGAGACTATCACACCTACCTATGTGGGTCTCTTCCCCTTGTATTTGAGTTATTGCTTTGATGAGTTCAAAGGAAACTAGATTCTGGTCTGCTATGTTGGGAGGATTCCTCCTAATGCAGAATGCCTGGCATTTTCCTGCTAGAATGCAGTGTTTCCTTCAAATTATGTGTGCATTCAATTTGGATAAAAATAAAAAGTAAAATGAAAAGTTTGGTGAGTAAACTTGGCCATGTGTTGCCTAGTCTAATCTTTTGAGTCTAAGTATCTAGTTGAGACACTTGTTTCTCTTACCTGGTACAGGCCAAAGGAAAGGGCCCAGGGCTGGTAGGGTGGCTCCAAAATCCTCAGCATGAGGCTGACATCTGCAGGTCAAGTGGTAGCTTCCATTCTCATTCTCATCCAGCCAGGGGAAGGATGAAAGGGCCAAGAGACCACACAGCCATTCCCGTTGCAGGGGCAGGTCCCAAAAGGGGCACACACGACCTCTGTTCACAAACTCACTGCAAGGGAAGTCGTATTCTCAGCTAAAACTCAGGAGCTCTAATATTAAAGAAGGAGAGAATGGACATTAAAAGTCAGCTGGCAGTCTCTGCCTCAGTCACCATGTTAAATCTATGCTGATCTGCTAAAAGAGGTCCAACTATTATTCCATTTGAAACTAAATAAAACAAGAGTTTGAACAAGTAAGCAGGCATCTTCATGTTTTGCTTTGGGCACTTTTTACTCATTTATTGTAGTATTATATCAAATTATTTCTACCCTCTCTCCATTTCAACCACTTTTCTTAGAACTTGTGTATCCTGTTTTTATGCCCTCCCCCTTTTTTTGATAAAATATGACCAAAGGGAATTTTCTCAAATATGTTTTTGGGCTGTGTATATGGTAGCATTAATAGAAATACAGCAGTAGAGACATAGAACTGAAAGGATCTTTAGAGAGTCAATTGAATCTAATCTCCTTACTTTGTAGATTGCCAGAGAGTTGGTAAGTCAGCCAACAAATATTTATCAAACAATTTGTATTTGCCGGATACCTTTCCATGCGCTTCAGATTAGAAGGAGACCAAAGCAGACCGAACTCTCCCCCCTCAAAGAACTTCTATTCTACTCTAAATTGTCACATGAATTCTCCAAAATCATACATCTCAATTAGCTTTATTTTCTTTAAAGGACATATATATTAAGGAAATACAAATTAACAAAGAAAAGGAAGAAGAACTAGTTGAGTGTCTTCCACAACTTCATGAGGCAGAAGAGATGTATAGAGAAAAAAAGAGAAAGCTGAAAGAGCTCAATAATATTGTCACAGGTACATGTGAAGCATTTAGTAATCAGCCTCGGTCCCAGGTAAGGATTTCACTGTTGTCTTCTAACACGGGCGAGTCATCAACACAAGCCAACGGTGAAATTCATCGAAATTTTTCCATCACCTTGATGCTCTATTCTCTAGCTTTTGACTTACCTACTCATTTCTCCTCCACACCACAATCTTACTGTTGCTACTGCTAATTTTTCCTTTTTCCTCTTTAAAGGCTGTTTAAAATTAAGAATTAGTAGTTCACTATATTATGTTCTTTCTCTCCGTATTTGGTAAAGGTAGAACTAACTCATTCATCTGCTATCATGTGGAGAATTTTTTTGTTTCTTACCAAAGGCAAATGAATTTGAAAATTTTATCTCATTTCCAGCTATGACTTTAACCATTTATCAAGTAGGTGCTCCTCAGATTGTTTTCACTAACCTCCCATGAAGCTCAGAGATCTGAGCTGGCCTCAGATCTGGGATTTAGTATAGGATGTGAAATATGTCCAAAAGTATGCACATTCTGAACTCTATTTCATAGTGTAATCATGTATGTTTAATGTAAAAATTATTATTTTCTCCACAAAAATTGGATGTGATCATCCAACCCTGCACTCAACATCCAAAGTTCACACATCCAGAATTATCCCAGAGATCTGAGTCTTGTCTTGCCTTTGGGAAATAGAAGATTGTTGTCCCCGGAGTCCGTGCTGTCTTTAAGGAGGAACAACTTCCAGAATTTGTATGAAAGAAGGGGCATGGGACTCAGAAGGGCAGGACCAAAAGTTATAAAAAGGACTGGAATGGGAGCAAAAACATCCATCCACTGGGCTGGAAGTGGGAACAACTGGCTAGCAAAGATGAATACGGAGAGAGAAAAATTAAATCGTCTGTGTCAAAACAGGACATTCATATGCAAACCCAATACGCTCAAATGTAAAATAAACAAATATCCAAAGGGGGATAGTGAGTATTGCTAAGGAAGGTTTTTTGTTTTTG